TGAGATGATATTATTTCAGTATAAAATAATTGTTGAATAAATATTATCATATTAGTGTTTCAAATACATTGAAATTTGAATACATCAAGCAGTGTTCATGTCCTAAAAATAACTCCAATGGTATGAAGAATTATAATTGTATTATAATTATACTATTAAAATGAACTAAACAATTATATATTTTTTAAAATAGTTTATATTATAAAAGTATATACTTTTATTGCAAAAAAATATATGAACCTACTAAAGTCAATATTTGCAACATTTTGTAACATTATGGAAAATAAATTTTAGTAGTCAAATATCTGGGCTCGATTGTTTACAAAATAATTAATCCAAAATGAGTTATTTTGGTTAATCAGAGTTAATTTTAAAAAATGTGGTATGGTTAGTTGTTAGTAGTATTTTAAGAATATATTAAAATAAAAATAAAATAATTAAAATTGATTTGATGTAAAAGTAGGAGATAAATGATTAAAAATGGTAGGTAGTTAAATTATGTGAGTGGATGAATAGTGGATTAAAGTTGATGTGATGTGTAAGAATGATTGTTTGTATTATTTAATTATATGAATAATATTAAAGATAATGAAATTCAGTTAAAGTTAGTTAGATTTTAAGTATGTATTAAATGTGAGTGAAATAATTTATAAACAAGCATGCCCACGAACCTTCTTCAACTGATATATTCAAACCCAATGTTTAAAATACCGGCACGTACCGACTGGTATTACCGGTGGTCCGACCGGTACGATTACCTTCAAAATACCGGCTTCGTACCGAAAAATACCGGTTTTATTGGACAATACCGACTAAATTACCGGTTAAAATACCGGATATACAAGATTTTATAAAAAAATATTTTTATAACATATTTTTATTAATTTATTTATACAAATAAAAATTTATACCCTTAATTTTAATATATTTACATAGTGGATTTTACATAATTTTAGTATTTATTCTAGATAGTTTTATATATTATTTATATTATAATAATATGTTAATTTAATATTTATTAAAATTGGTAAAATAAACTGTAATATCGATTAAACCGTACTGGTGGCTACCCCGTAGGTATTTAAAACGTTGTCCAAACCAGAAAAATATCATTTCAGCTGAAGTTTGCAAATTCCGAGCAAACCCAAGCTCGATTCCGTTCCATTAATGGCGTCCTCTGTATTCTCTCACGCGCCATCTTCTTCTTTCACCCTCCACTTCAATTCAAGCCGACCCTTCTCTCCCCAATTAATTAGCGTCTCGAAACACCTAAGCTTTACAGTCAAGGCGTCGACATCTGTTGACTATTCAATCCCATCGAAATCATCTCCCGTAGCCAAGAGCAAGCCGAGCAGCTGGCAATGGAAGTTCGGGGGCAATTCCGTAGATATCCACTTCGAGAGGCTAGAGAAAGACGGCGGCGGCGCGGCCGCTCGGCCGCGCAAGGACATTCTCTTGGTGCCGACGATCTCCGACGTCAGCACGGTGGAGGAGTGGAGGGTTGTGGCTGAGGAAATCGTCGGGAGGGAAAGTGCGATTAATTGGAGCGCGACTATTGTGGATTGGCCCGGTTTGGGGTATTCGGGCCGGCCCAAGCTCGATTATAATGCTGATGTGATGGAGAGGTTCCTGGTGGATTTTGTTAATGCACCTGATAGTCCAATTTCCAGCTTTATTGCAGGTGTGTGATGCGTTTCACATTGTCTACTTTATTTTTGAATCTTTTATGGCTTTTTTTTTCTTGCACACGTTTCCTTGCCTTGCTTAGATATCAGTGTTGTTTTAGAAAATGGTGTTATTTGGTTTGTACAAATCCCATGTAATTTTGATTATCTTGCTGCAATTTTAGTGTTAAAAATGAAATAGGTGGCATATGTTGAGCTTGGGTACTCGAAAAAGTGGTATCATAGCCAGACTTGGCATTAGTTGAGGTACATGTGATTTTTTGTCGAGCTTCTTGATTGTTGTGGTGCAATTCATACTGCAAAGTTCGTATGCAGTTTATTATCACTGAGGAGAGTGTAGTAAGTTGATTGAGTGGAGCCACAATGTGTGACCTTCAGCTTCAGGCTTCAGTATATATAGCAATTTTAGTCCATTTAAACTTGAATGTCCCAAATGATGATGAAGAAGATTAGACCGACTCTGTGACAGCACATTTTGTGGAGGATCATGAAAGCTCTGAGTAGATTTATGGAAATTAAATTAAATTGGGCTTAAACAAGACTGAAGTCTGACCATCAAGTTAAAGGTGGCTCTTCTGAATAACAGCAAGCTTGATAATTGTAGGCACGAGGTTTAACAAACTGATATTTGTTCGTCATGGCTAGTACTTTCTTAAAACTTGATTGTTAGATATATTGCTATGCGATTGAGTTCGAATGTAAATATGGTTTTTTTGTAAGTGTAGTATTACTCTATCCTATAAAGATAGGCTGCATTACTGTATCGGGCATCCGACAAAGAAAGAAAAAAGTTGCTTTAAATAGTGTTTTAAGAGTCTTTTTTTTTTACCATCTTTGAAAAGTACTTTTAAGATTGTACTTTCCCATCAACAATGATAGTGTTTTCCTAAATATGTGAAAAAACACAAGTAACAATAAGCCTATCTTTGTGGGAGAAGGCATGGAGATGGAGGTGATTCAACCTTATCAGTAGTTGTTGAGCTTCTTTACGCTCAAACTTGGTTGAATACATAAAGCTTATAAGCTAACTAAATAAGCTATAAGCTAGCTTATTTGGTTACCAAACATAGCCGTCGAGCTTATAGCTGATAGCTTATGACTTATGACTTTATATGATAAAAGTGTAGTTGACAAGCTGGCTGAAATAAAAATTTCAATGAACTTATTTGAAAAACTACTCAAAGAAGCTTATGAGATAAGCTCGAGCTTTTTTTAAAAGTTCGTCCTACCAAACCAAACTTATTTGAATACAGAAAGCTTATAATCTAATCAAATGAACTATAAGTTAGCTTATATGCTTACCAAACACATTTAGTTGTCCTCTATTCAACCTTGTCTGAATCTAATTTGAATCAAATAAAATAATCTAGTATATTTAGACTTGTTTCCTTCTTAATTCATAGAACTAGATCAATTTGCCTTTTACTGATTTTTAATTTTATATTCAACCAGTTTCTTTTATGAAAAATCATCTTGTTAAGTCTCTTTAACAGCATCCATCAAATTATAACTCATGCTGCTATTTATTAAACAGATAATGAGTATGTGGTATTTGGAGGAGGGCATGGTGCAACAATTGCTGTTCGGGCTACAAAAAATGGTTTTTTGACGCCAAAGGCAATTGCTGCTGTTGCACCAACTTGGGCTGGTCCTCTTCCTATTGTGTTCGGTAAAGATTCCAATATGGAGACTAGGTAAGATAGATATCGAGTTTCCTTTTTACATTTATTCATGCTTAATATGTAGTCGATGCTTTGTTTTTCTGTTGGACTGTGTTCATTGTTATTCTTTCGAAACTCTAACACCTACCCAATAATCATTTGAGATAATCTGGTATTTTGTAATGTTCTTAACGATAAAGTGATTTCCTCGGGTTGCTAGTATATTCAGAATTTAGTCATTTACCCACATCATCGCAACCTGAAATTTTACCGAACTAATTTAAAATAGGGATGACTGTAAAACTCAATTCTGAGGTTTAGCCTATTTACAAACATCATCTTTATAAAATGCAGATACTGCTTCAGGTATTGCCGAAACCCCATTGAGATTTGTTTTTACTGCGTAAAGTTCTTCATGTTATAGGTGTGGTTTTAAGGGGTTATTACATAAAAGTACCCTTTGAGATTTGAATAATTACAAAACCCAGCTAACTTTCTGTAGTAACTTTCTATATTACAGTAAGCACTCTGAGGTGTTTTTTTTTTCTCAAGGATGAAACATTTCAAAACTCCTTTCTACATAGAAAAAAAAATAAAAAAAAAATACTACAATATGCTGTGTAGTTTGGAAACTTGGAGGTGTTTGTTTATAAATTTTTCCAATCCATACTCAAAATCTAACTCAACTTTAAGCCAACCCTATTATCCTCAATATTATCAATATAATTAAACAATACCAAACAATTATTCTTACACATCACATCTGTATATTGAACTTCACCCGGGCTTCTTCAACTCGGACGGCCTCCGTACCTGCAAGAACTCAACGCCGGGAGTGGTCCCGGCGTCGAGCCTCCGATGGCTAAGTCAGCACTCGTCAGAGAGTATAGTAGTGAATGTAGAGAGAATGTGTTTTTTATATACTTTAGGCCCATTTTATAGGGAAGGTTTACCTTAGTGCCCGAGTTTAGCTTGAGCAATACTATTATGACATGTATAGGTTTATTCCCCAGTATATTCCTTCTTATCCATTAAAGCCGATCTAGTATGATATTCCATATCAACATCAAATTTAATTCACTATTCATCCACTAACATAAGTTTAACTATCCATCACTTCACATCACATCTCTCCTACTTTTACATCAAATCAACTTTAATTGTTTTATTTTAAATATTATTTTAATACAAACTCAAAATCCCACTAACAACTAATCATACCAACTTTTTGAAAATTAACTCTGGTTAACCATAAAAATTAGTTCTGAGCAGATATATATCCAAAGCACCTTTGAGTTTGAGATACTAAAAAAATATATAACTGGATTTGTTTGTTAATGTAATTGAATTAAATTAACCTCTTGTTGCTGACATTCCTCTCCGCCTCCGCACCCTTATACGGATGGACCAGATTGGATACCCATCGTTCAGATTTGGACAGTCGGACTTACATTTTGGTGCCTCTGCCACACTGTGATGCTGACTTTTTCGCCGGGACTCTCCCCGGACCAGGATCTGTTATTTTTGTATTTTTCACTGCAGTTGTCAGCCTTCCCTTGTATATTTTCTTGCTTTTGTTTTTGGTTTTTCGTTTGACTTGATGTATCTCAGACATTGGACTTGTAGCTTTGTGACTTTTCAGCCCATTTAGGGCATTTTATATACAGGTTGGGAGTTCGGCCTTAACCCCACCCTCCTGGGGTTGTTTGGAAAAAAAAAATAAACCTCTTGTTGCTGCATTTTACTAGTTCTTGTAAAATTTAATAATTTCCCAATTCACACACTATCGTTTATTTATAGGTATGGCTTGCTAAGAGGTACTTTGCGGGCCCCCGCCTTGGGCTGGATGATGTATAATGTCCTCGTCAGCAATGAGAAGGCAATCCAATCCCAGTACAAATCACACGTCTATGCTGACCCGGAAAACGTGACGCGTGACATCATCGAGAGCCGATATGAGCTCACCAAAAGGAAAGGCGCTCGTTATGTGCCGGCTGCTTTCTTGACCGGTTTGCTCGATCCAGTAAGTTCAAGAGAGGAATTTTTGGAACTATTTTCCGGACTCCAAGGAAAACACGTGCCAATACTTGTCATGTCGACTTCAAGTGCACCAAAAAGATCGAAAGCCGAAATGGAAGCTCTTAGGGGAGCAAAAGGTGTGAGCAAATTTGTGGAGGTTAAAGGCGCTTTGCTTCCTCAAGAAGAGTACCCTAAGGTTGTAGCCGAGGAATTATACAGGTTTTTGGTGGAGAATTTCGAGTCGGAGGATTAAATTAAACCAAGATTTATGTGGAAGTTCGAATCTTTTTTGGACCCTTTTCATTTCATGATCTATATAGTAATTACTACATGAAATCGAGCTAATCGTTTATGGAGAACCAGTTGAAAGTGAAACAGGTAGGTACATTATATATATATATTTACCACTTTTTACAGGTAATTTTCAGCTGTAAGATGTACTATTATGCTATCATCAACCTTGTATTTGATCAACTATTTGATGGTTTAAGTTGATAACCATATTTGTAGCTCATTAAAGAACAGTTGTGGATCTCGTCATGCTCGGAGAAATACATCGTTGTATGGAGGGCATTTTGGTCATTTTAGTGAGGGTGGTGGGTGATTAATTTTTCACTAGTGGACTGATTTTCTTGAAGCTAATAATGATGATTGAAATTTTAAACTGTTTTTCAAGAAAAGGTGAATAACAGTGCCCTAACCGTAGGATCGAATTTTTCTCAAGAAACAGGAGTGATTTGAAGCTACTTTGTTGATGCATTTGTGACTTTTGGATCTCACACATGGGATTGGATTTTTTCTTACCTTAATTTATGTTTTTTGATGTGGATGTAACGAATTGTTGATGCCCCTAATCTTACTATTTAAGCAACATCTGCCAATATTTAAGAATTTAAACAAATTTAGTGATGATAGCAAGAAGATAATGGTAATCACTGCATCTCGTTTAGTAATTGGTAATGTTACAATTTGGTAACAAATCAGGGACTTGTATATTCACGATCTTCGTCGTTTTTTTTTTGGTACAAATAGGTAAGTATGTATATGTGTGTTAATCAAATTTTGAAACTGCATTGCAATCGAAATTCTGAAATTATTATGAACAAGAGCTGAGGTAAGGAACAAGGACGGTAAAATATGTTACATAATTTGATATTTGTTATTTTTTACTGCATATATTCTTGATCGGTAAATAGATAGGAAGTACCCTTTGGTATACATTACATAAACTTTCCAGGTAGAACAATAATTTCCAATTCAACCCAATACGCAAACTTATCAAGAAAACTTAGAAAACTTGAATCTACAAGTTTATGCAATGTACACCAATTTTGTGAAAAATAACTGTGTAGCTAAAGATTTGTCAATTGAAGCAAAATTTGCTATCTTTTCCCACATATGCAAAAGCAAATTTAGTCATCACCACCAAAGTCCCCATCATCACCATCATCTCCAGCATCTCCCCAGTCGACATTCTCAGCGGCATTAGCATCGATACTAAAGGGCACGTCCATATCCATATCATCACTAGGCCCCACCATACTATCTTCCTTTACTTCCATTGTTTTCAGGTTTGCCTCACTGAAAAACTCCGAGTACGGCTTCGAAACCTGATATTCGAGAGCGACATATAGTTACCAACTATACCTCTGAGGTTTAGGACTATTCGCCAAAAGACCACGATAAGTTTCTTAATAATAACACCAAAAAACTAAAACATTCATGCAGATGTAGCTTAACCTAGCTGATAAGCTAATTTATAGTTTTAAGTGAATTTTGAGCTTATAGCTGATAGCTTATGATTTATGGCTGAAAAGTTAGCTTATATGATAAAAGTGTTTGGTAAAATTAGCCCATAAGCTAACTGAGATAAAAATTTCAATTGGCTTATTTAAAAAACTACCTAAGGAAGCTTAACTTTTTAAAAAAGCTCGTCCTACCAAACCAAAGCTTATTTGAATACAAAAAGCTTATAAGCTAATCAAATAAGCTATAAGCTAGCTTATATGCTTACCAAACACCAGCTATAAAGTTCGGTTTTTGCAGAATGTATCGAATACTGAGTGGGGAGGAAATGTTAGACAGAAGCTAACTTCACAATCTTTTATTTTTTATTTATTTATTTTTTTGTAAATTTGAAACTCGTCTGGGCTTTTTCTGTAATATTCGCAAGTGCAAGTGGGGATGTGCACCTTGAACAACACTTTCCTCTTCTCAGCGCTTTCAACGAGGTTCTTCCAATGGTCGTCTCGTTTCAAAGTTGTTGCCGAACCCACGACCTAAAATTAAGAAATTCCATATTAGGAGATAATTAAAGGCCATGAGAATCCATAAATCCAGTTTTTTTTTCGAATGTTTTTAAATATCAGACATACCAGAACAGAAGACCTTGCCCTAGTAATACCGACATTCATTCGTCTAAAATCAGCAACAAAGCCAATGCCTTTATCTTTACTCGCTCGAACACATGAAAAGATAGCAACATCCTTCTCACGTCCCTGCAAAATTTTACTTTCCATATCGATCATTGGAGGATTTGGCTCCATTTTATATTTCCATTCATAAGCAAAAACACACACAATAAAAACCCTTCTATATTCTAAAAAAAATATAGTACTGCTTAAACTGAATACAGAATCAAAAAACTTCGAGAGGTTCGATGTAATTCTGAATCTTATATGGATTTTTCTGTTATTAAGTCAAGCCTCAGGGGTTGTATTCGTAATTGTCCCATAACCAAATCGAAACATAGCTATATGCATGATGGGCATAATACAAATACGATAGTTTAAATATATCAGACTAAGTAAGATCACACCTGAAACCCGTCAACAGTGTTGATGTCTACAACTTTATCAGACTCCACACCGAAATTGCTCCGGAATTTTTCTCTGAAGAGTTTGACTTGATGTCTGTATGGTGATATGATGGCGAGTCGAGAGCTGGACTTGAGCTCTGGATATCTGCTGACCAAAGAACCATACATAGAGAGGACAAAATCGACCTCATCGACATTCACCCAAGAACCACTTCCCGATGGTTGGGATTCGGTCCCTTCATGTATGTCGAAAAAGCAAAACGGCCCAAAGCAGCGGAATTTATGCCACGAGCGTTTGGTCTGACTTTCAACATCGGGACCGTCCTCTAATGCTTCGTTATAAAACTCCTTAGAAGGGAAGCTCCTAATCTGCAGAACATAATTCAATAGTTCATTAGAGAGAAAGGGGGTGGGGAAGAGAGAGAGAGAGAGAGAGAGAGAGAGAGAAGCTCCTAATCTGCAGAACATAATTCAATAGTTCATTAGAGAGAAAGGGGGTGGGGAAGAGAGAGAGAGAGAGAGAGAGAGAGAGAGAGATTAAAAAAGTTTCAGGACCTCTGGATTCATCCGATATTGGGTCTTCAGCATCTGTACTGGATAGCCAGCCCTCTGGAATCTTTTAAATAGGCTCATTCCGTATCTGCAAAATTTCCACAACGAACTTATTACTTCATAAATCAAGTCACACAAAAGAAATGGTGAAACCAGAAATTACTGCACTTGGAGGTAAATCAACACTTAAAGGGTGACAAATGTTCTTACCCATATTTTTCCGCAACAGGAGAAATTACTGTGGCTGGCAACTGAACCGGATCCCCTACCTTAATCGACGGATAAAACCCACGATACATTAGTTCAACTCACAAAACAAAATAATCGGCACAATAGAACACTATCATTTTTTATTTCAACTCACAAAACAAAATTTGAAATTTGAAAGTTTCAATACTCGTTGAGTAGGCATAAATTACTTATGCAGTAGTATCAAATACTTCAATTCAAATTGAAACAGATTTGTCATCAGTCCACATCAACAGATTCAAATATGAGCAACATGATAAAGAGCCGCATACCAAAAATACTTGTTTACATCCATTGGCAAGTGGAACAAGGGTTGCTGGCTCCACCTGTTGCATACAAAATTTGGATTATCACAATAAAAATGCTAATTAATACTAACACAGCTAAAGAAGAAATGAACTCGAGGTGTCTCAGATATTTCAAACTAAGCCTTACACTATGTTCCGTACTATAACACGACATAAGGAGTCAAAATAAAAAGAAGAAGAATTTACAAAGCAGCACAATCGTACCACTCATAAACTTGGAAAAATTATTTACGAAGCATTACAGGAGGAA